AACATTTCCAAGATAATGTTAGCTATTTACAAATTATTATTTTTGCCACTCATTTCTACAACTGTATTAAATTCCCTCTCTACTGCTAGCATTAGTAACTGTGATCACACAGTCAACACAGCCTGAAGCCAGACCAGCCTAAGGGCAACCCAAACATTGTTTCATTCAGGTAAATCACCCACATTCGCTTCACCATACAGCGTGCCTGATGTTGGCACCGGGGAAGGGGAAGCAGTCAATCACCAGGTTAGACATATTCTGGCAACAATGCCAGCTCATGATGATCTACACCATGTGTTAAATTACAACCAGAAAATAAAATTAGAAGGAATGAGATTTCAGTTTCTGCTCAGAAAAGACAGTGTTGTAGTTCCTATTTGAGAAGTCTGCTCCATATTTTAGATGAAAAAAACATTTGCACTCTCTCATGAATTGCAGTATAGCATGTGACAACATGGAACAAATTAAATTTCAAAATGAGGTTTGTATACATGCACTATTTCAGAATAATGCAGAGCTTAGTTTCTTGATATAGAAAGAATTCCAGAACTCAGCTTTTTCAATAGGAAACTCACATACAATGCAAAGCACATACATATCTATACTTTATATTATACTTATGTACTCTATTCACCTGTAGCTACAGAAATTTAAGTGAAAGAGTGACTTATACTAAGACCACAACTCTTAAAGTCGTGCAAGAGTACCAAGTGGACAAACATAAAAAACAAACAAGGATAGTTGAAAACAGCAACTCAAAAATAAATGACAGGTGCTGTAGAAAGCTAATATTTAATCTGAACCTTAATTATTCATCTCATTCAGAAATGCAAGGATAAATACAACACTTCAAAAATATTTAGTGATGGGCCTTTTTTTTTTTTTTTCCTAATTTGATTGCACAATCCTCAATCTGTGCAGCTGTGCAACTGCTTCTGATGCTTAGATTTCCCAGCACACATGACTCATGCACAACTAAATTATCCTGTAAAGCATTTGGGAAGAGCAGACCGACTGCCTGTGGAGTGGCAGAACACTTCATTGGAAACTGTCTTGGAAAAGAAAGAGGAACTAAAACTTCATGTTCATGTTACCATAAAAAAAAAAGAGAAGGAACACTTTCTGTTCAAATACTCAAGTAAAGTCCAAGTCAAAAATACCAAACTAGGAGCTTCTCCTGCCTGCAGCTCCCTCTCTTCCCCCATACCTGTATTAGCACACAGCTCCTGCTATATTCATAAGATTAACAAGATTTAGCAAGGACTTTTCTATAACTCTGGCATCTGCCATTAAGTCCTTCAGTGTTTCCTCTGCACAGTACAACTACCTGTTACTGAAAGAGCAAGTTTACACATCGAACAGAGTCTCAACACTACAGTCACAGAATTCTGAACACCTGCATTGCTGTGCTCTCCTTCATCTCATTACACAAAACATTAGAGTTTGTCATTTGTCAGAACTGTCAGCACAACGATCCAGGCTCAACTGGAATTACAGTGATTGCAAAACCTGAGACACAGGACACATGCTTTATTACAATAGCAAGAAATACCTTAACTGGATAGGGGAAAATAAAAAGGCAAAATAAATTAAAAAGCTTTACAATCGCTGCTCAGACGAAATATCTTAACTGTTGTCTTAGATAAAAAAAATGGACAAATCCAAGACAAAAGATATTTCCTAGAAACCCCTGCAGAACAATCTGTAACCACACTGGGGATAAAGTTTAAGGTATCCTTTAGCCACTTCAAATGCTATAAACAAGGACCAAAAGGAAATGGAACATCACAACATTCAGCAAGTAGCATGACTTGCTCAGGCAGGAAGAATGGTGTATTATAAAGAATGGTACTGCACAAAGCATGCAGGAACACAGTACAGCAACAGTGTATAAACTCTAAATGTAACGTAATTTTACTGTAATCATTCCTTACATACATGGTAATAAGTCTCTGCTTAAATATTCAAATATTAGAGTAATGAGCACAACTGAATTTCTGAATGTTCAATTAATGCTGTTAAAAGGAATACCACTGTAATTTGAAGCACTGCAACTTCTGAACAACTGTCTTTAGCCATTTATCTTCTGATATCCTATCAGTTTATGCAAATGTCATGTTTGTTCAACTTCTTTCTTCATGCTTCTGAGTAGCAGCAGCATGCACTCCTTCTTTATGGCTCTATGACTACTGACATAAACAGAAACCTTCAGAACTTGTGTTCAGTAAGTGGAGTTCAAAAATTCCACTCTCTCACCTTCAGGGGGTCACCAAAGCACACCAACAAATTCCTTGTTCCCATTAACTACAATTACAACTAAAGCCTTGAGTCTGGCCTACTTAATTGCAAATTAGTTTGATTATTGCGACAGAATTCCTCTTCAAACATCAGGTATTTTTTTAATGAACATTTTCTGGAGCTTGCAGAGTAATTCAGCACCTGCAGCAGAACTAGACACAACCATTTTCCACTCTGCAAGCACTTTCAAAAATATTTTAAAAATCGTAATACTTACTGAAAGTCATAAAATATAATACAACCATAGATTTTTTTAAGGCTAGTGTTTTCAAACTTTGCTGCTCAGATAAGAACTTTCAAAACGGCTTGGGGAAAAAAGTAATTTTTCAAATTAAACTCCTTTTGTATTTTCAGAAATTCAGATTCTATCCTGATACTTCTCTATATGCTTTTAAAAGCTTTGTATGAGTGCTCCAAGTTATTTACATTAGAACCATTACTCTTTTGCACTGCCTATAATATTCAACATGAAATGATATCAGCTACTTGGTACCACACACACTATATCAGCATGATTCTTTAAGCCCTTTTTAGGCTTCCATCAGCTTTTTTTCTTTTGCAATTTTTCCAGCTTTTATTTTACAGAACAATAAGGTGAACTACTTCTATTTACCTAAACCCAATTCAGCTTGCTTACTTCTTGCCCCCTCAAAGTCTTCTCTGCTCTCTCAAGTTCTCAACAGCTCCCAAATTAGCATCACTGTGATTTACTCACAAACACTTACAACCTTTCCTTCCAGGTCATTCCTGAGGATACTAAAATTAGCAATGCTTAAAAGACTGCCATCTCAAATAGCAAGGAGGATCTAGTTAAAAATCAAGTTGCACTAGATGTGTCCTACAGCTAATAGCGGAAATCGTAGCAAATGAGGTAGAACATTTCATTTAGGCTCTTTTTCCACTTTTTAACAGAATCTGATTCAGACTGAGTACTGAAGACCTGAGAAGTAACATGAAGAAAGTAGTTATAAAAGCCTTAGAGATTCCTAGGATCTTGCTAGGCTCCTATTGAACACTGGTATCAAGGAACAGGATACCAATAGTTATCAGCATTCATAAGAAACACTGGAACTAATATAAATCAGATGTTGAGGCCACATGCTAAAAGGCTAATGAATACAGCCATACTTTACTTAAGCATACATGGAGGCTTGAAACAGTTTTGTTATGCCTAATGCATTAACTAATTTACTAACAGAGTGAGAATGAAATACAGAAGAGAGTAATATTCCAAAGACAAGGTTACTTAAAATAATGAAGGCTCATTATAACTTGCTGGCTTACAATTTTGAAGTTCTGACTCTCAACATTTGTCTTCATTTTAAAGGCTTGTTCTTGCCTCAATAAGGCCTCCTCAATAAGGCTGCTGGATGAAGCACCAGAGTATTAAATTTTGATTCTGACTTAATTCTTGGGTTTTTTTGCTAGCTGAAGTCTCTGAAACATGTACATAAAGATTTTTTAGAAAGGGTTATACAATTTGAACAGAGAGATGCTTTATGCCTGGGAGAACAAAATATGACATCTAACATTTTCATGCTAGCTATAATACGCAATAATGTTGTGGATATAACCAATTTAAATTACTCTGCAAATAACTTGGTTTGAAAAAAAGAAAGAAAAAAACAACAAAAACCCTCACCACATTTAGTACCAAAAAAAAAAAAAAAAAAAAAAAAAACACCCCAAAAATAACAACCTGAAATTTTCCAAAATGGTGTTGATATCTGTGGTGCTACAACTTTAGATTTGTTTAATGAGCACATTAAAGAACTGATGCTCTCAATGGCAATCTGGTAATTATGGGGAAAAAAAATAAATCAAGAGCTGAAACATGGAAAAATCTGATAAACAGAAAATATAACTGAGTTTATTCCTAATCAGTGGCTTAGGCAGGCAGCATATCACCCTAGCAGCAAGTGTTCACAAGTTCCTGGGACTCAGGAGAATTAAAGCCATACAGGCACAGATGGGGAGAACTCTCACAACTGTTAGTTCAAGATGAAGTGATTTAACACTGGCAACCAAATATTACTTAGATTTTCAAAGCATTAACAACTGCCATCTTTAACCTCAAACTGAGGAATACAGGGAAAAAAAAAATAAAAAAAATCAATACTGATTCTTGGTATCAATGCATAAAAAAACCAACAAACTGCAAACATTTGTGAAGACCACCTCTTTTTTTTCTTTTTTCTTTTTTTTCCCCTCGCTCAGACTCAACGGCTGCAACAGAATTCTGGGCTTCTGTGCATTTTTGTTTTATTTTTAAATCAACACTGATTAAAAATTCAAGGAAAAATCTGGAGTAGGAAGTGCACAAATTTCAGTATTGCATATAAAATTATAAAAAAAATCATGACTCCTATTTTTCACAATTTCAGAACATAAATAAGGAAGGAAAACAGATTAAAGAACAATCAATTACCTAAGACAGCTGTGATATAGGTCATTTGATTTACTGTCATTGGCAAGTTTTTTTTTTCCCTATTTCCTTGACAGTTTGTATAAAAAGAAGCTGCTGCAAAGAAAACCTCAGCTTCCCACTATTAATCAAAGCTAACAATTTTGTCCATGTCACCACTAGCAAGTAAAATGGAGCAGCAGAGAAGGATCAGCAGACAAAAGCAGCGCATGCAGACACTGCTCAAGCAGGTTTATTTTGGGTTAGATTTCATTTAGCCTCCAGAAGCAAACATTACCATTACACAGGCCACTCAAAGTTTTCCAAGAATTTAATAACTGATTCAGGCCTGTATGTTCCCAGCAGAGACAGAAGAGCACCTCACACCTGCAGCAGAACTTAAAAGTTGGTTTTCTCAGAAGGGAATGTAATTCAATCACAGTGAACCAGTAGGTACTAAGAGGAATTAGTTGAGAGATCTGTCCAAAACCATATTAATGACACAAATTAAAATGGTAATACATATACTTCAATTGTATTCTTCCTTTCCAAAAAACAGGCATCATCTCACAAAACAGAACAGGCACTGATTCAACAAGAACTGAAGCTTTTGCTCTTAACTGCTCACCGTGTTAAAAGCAAAACTAAACAGAAAACAGTATGTGCCAACCTATTGGCACGTATCTTTCAGATTTTGTGTCTCAGTAATTTATTTCCTCTTATTACCTGTGCTACTAAATGCTGCAAGTGAAAACTGAAGTTGTTGGCATCTATGAACTTTCAGATAAACCTTGCAGTATTTTTCTCACTTTGCAATTCACACGGCTGAGACTAAAACAAGTCTGTAAGCACTACTACCAAAATTCAAACTAAACCTACTAAACAAACTAAATTTAAAAGAGCTGAAGATGAACATGTGCTTGCTTCTGTCATTCAAACTCATCTCAACATCGAGCAGTAATGACTGTGGGAATTTAGAAAGAAAACGATTTAATGATACAGCAATATTTGTTTATGCCAATATTGAAATGCCTGACCTCAATCATCCCAGAGAGCAGCCACAGGAACACTGTGGCAGATATGCCAATGGAAATGAATCAAGAAACTTACGTTATAAAAGAACTGCATTACAAATATATTTGTACATGAGCAAAGGGAAAATCCAGGAATACACTGCAAAACATTTACCTTTCTTTTTCTGAGCTATGTCATTTGCTTATCTAATAATTTAATCTTCCAGATTTTAAGTTAAATGCCAGATTGTATCTTAGAACCGTAAGTTATAAGTAGGATTTGGTTTCACATGATTAACTCATCCTGTTGCTTAGAATTATTAAAACATCCACAGAGACTCACCTAATTTCACCAACATTCAATATATATCATCCAAATAACTTTCCAGAGGTTTTTGCAAATGAAGGAATGGGCTTCACACTGCATTTGCTGAAATTGAGATGAAAAGAAAACAATGCTCAAACAATGCTTCAAAAAATTATCTTTTAAGGAAAAAAAACCTAAATACATACAAACCTTCTCTTAAGATGAAATTTTAAGAGCTGAGGTATTATGTGTATTTTAGAAGATTTATTCTGTGTGGGCCTGGGCTTCAAAGCAAAAAATAACAGAGTAATAAGGTAATAATCATTTTCATCAACTATAATAAAAAAATCAGTTGAATGACTGTAAGCATCATTAAGCATCTGTGAAATATGAATGCCACATCCTAAATCTATAAAAATTGAAGCAGTAAGAAGTCATCCCATTTATTCCTATATGGAACACACATTCCTTCTTTCTGTAACTCATCAACACCAGAAACTTTTGGTCTGGTTCAACACAGAGTCCAAAATCTTGAAAAAAAAGTTCAGCACCAACCTGTAATAAGCAAAAGGTGGGAGGGGAAGCTTTAAGACAGTCCTCCATGCTACACGGTCTGTCTCCAGCAAAACAAAGTGGAACTACAGCCTCCTGCCTGTCTTGCACATCTGCATTACTCTGTTTCACAATTGGAATAATGTGACAAAGAGCAGTGCTTTATCCTACACAGCTCCTCTCCCTTGTTACTGCCTGCCCAGGGCATAGCTTTGCTTTGGTCAGCAACTTCACTTCTTTATTTAATTTCAGTCAACTCCTCTGATCCAAAGCTAAAACCTGGGATAAACTCCGAACTGGCTCAGAAGCAATCTCTTTCTCTTTAAATCTCTCGGGTACCAAGAAACCATTTGCAGATCATTACCTCTCTAGAACCTACTAAATACAATGAGATTTTTCATCACTGTGATAGATAGAGCGGCCCCAAAAACTACGACAAAGAGAAGCTACCTGTCCTACAATGTTACATTTCCCATCTCCTGTGGATGGGCTCCAAATGCACCGCCATTCCTTCTTATGCTATGGAAGTAAGCAAGTAAGAACAAATCTAAATGATAGTGGTTTGATTTTTCTCCTGTGTAAAGGGGTTTTTCCACAAGTGGTGACACAGGCACATTTCCAGAAAAGCAGAGGCTGAACTGCATGCATTTACATATGCACACACGTCAAGGAGAATAACAACTTCCAAATCTCTGTTCTCTTCCTATTTCTACAAATCAGCATTAAAAATATTTTCATCTCTACTTAGCCATTTGCTTCTGTGGAAAACATTAAGATAACATTTATGAATATTCTGTTTTTTATTTTATAAAGTAAATATATAAAAATATATTTGTAACTATTTAAATATTTAAATGTATATTAAATATTTAAATGTAAATATTTATAGAGTAAATACAAAATGTTCTGTTGCTTAAGGACAGTTTTGAACTGAAGATTTTCAGCACTTTAAAAAAAAAAAAAAAAAAGGCTATGAGAAAGTAACATTTTTATTTGTCCTTTCGTTTTTGTAAATGCAAAGGAAAACAGCCCATGGAGAGAAAAATGGTAAATAAAGCTGAAGTGTGCCCTGGAAAACACAAATTCTTGATAATTTTCACAGTCTGAAAAGGTCATTTTGAAAAAAGCAACATCTATGATTTACACCATGTATAAGAAATCAGGATGCTCAAAAAATCTTCTGTTGTAACTTTGTAACCTTGTACAGCACACATTATTGCAAACAGTCCATTTTATTATGAAACTTCCTGAACACAAAAGCAGCAACAGATAATCATAATAAAGAAAATTTCAACCAAAAAACTCAATAATTATGGAAATATCCTACTGAAGGTGCACTGCACAAGTAGAATGAACACAATATTGGGGGTGTGCTAAGGAAAAGCACTGAGAGCAAAGAAGAAAGTCTCCTTACTCAGTGCTGGTACCAGACATTACAAAGGAGCAGAGCAGCTGAGGTCTGTTTACCTATCACAAACCAGCTAGAGTATGCTCACTTGCTCCATCTGGTTATAAATAAAAGGACCTACCTCATCTGATTTGGACAGATGAAACAGCTGTAGGCAAATCAATGAGCTGGTAGAAACAGTTTTTTCAGAAATCTATCATGCTGCCTATGTAGGATGGCACAAAGCAAGTAGCCCAATACTGCAACATAACTCTTCTAGCTTTCTCCTGAAATTCTACTTGTCTCCTAAGCACCTGAGTGCTTGCTCTAACATACACAGGTCTTATATCTTTCCATTTCTAAGATTAACGCTGCAACTCAAATCACGAAAACAGTATTGCCCTCTCCTTCCATCTCATTCTCAGAGGCAAGCTGATCTTTGGTAAGGCTTGAACTGAAGCAACTTTTGGCCAAGTTTGAACAATAAAAAGAACTTCTGCTCATTGAATCCTGTTAAATTAGAGGTCTTCAAACAGAAAGCCTAAAGCATCATTAACTATAAGGACACCAACCATTTCCAATGCATGATAAAATATCAGGAATACAGAAAGGTTTTCTGTCAGTGAGACAAAACGACCTAGTTTGAGAAAGATTGGAACAAAGTCTGCTATATCTAAGTATATCCACATTGCTTGGAGGGCTTTTTTTTGTTTATTTTACTGACAGAGTCACCTTAAAAGTTTAACAGTAATATAAGCTGCTCACAAAAGGCTCCTCAAGCTATCTTCCCAGTCTCGTGTACTCCTCTTTGCGTGACCATGGATATACACAATCAGTAAACAGACTGCATGACAAGACACGAATGAATCCTGCAAAGATGGAAATCTGCTCCTCCTGGCCCGTCTTCAGCTGGATAGCAGAGTATCAAATCAAAGCAGTGGGGAGATGCAACCCTTTCAGAAAGATGATGACAAGTGAACAGAGGGACTGCTAATTGGAACCTATTAAGATGCATTTGTTTGCTTTGTATGCAGTTGTACATTAATGGAGTATCATTACCACTTTAACAAGAGCATCTGTGAAAGAAGACCCCAACAAGCTGTGAGCACAGCAATACATACGCTCATTCACTGCAACACATCCCTGGGAGAGACACTAATTCAGGCTCCTAAAACAGCAGGGCCACATTAGCATATGTCATTGCTAAGGACAGTGCTATCATGGGTTGCTTCTTTTCCTTCTGGTTTCTCAGGCACAACTGTTTTATTCTATGCTCCTGTCTACAGGATGGAAGCTTATTAAAAGCCTATTTGAAGTCTATTCCAGCACCCACACAACATTAATTTCAATCTCAAATTGAAGGGGAATGTCTACCTTGCTGAGGTTGAAAAAAAAGACACTTCTGTTTAAAGCAGTACTGTTTTAGCAGCAATAAAATCTACATACTTACTTAAATTACCTAGAAATCCATTATGCCTTGAAGAGTGGGTGGATAGCTTTAGTAGTCCAAGTATGATGTCATCTGAGCAAAAGTCTTTTTTGGCACAGTGTTCTGAGAAAACAAAACAAAACAAAAAAAAAACAACAGCTCTATGAAAATGAATCTAGTTGAAACAACTTGTGGATGAGCCCTTGATTGCTGCCCTATTTCCTCTGCTACCATTACGGTCACTTTAGTTCTAGCCCTAAAGTGTTCACAACTTCACACTCCAGCTCTTCACTCCACACAACTGGAATACACGTGAGGATGGAGAACTTCAGATGTACATTCCTCCCTTTACTTAGCTCAGAAGTCTAAACTTCCTCACTCTGAAATCCCAACCTGCAGCCTAACACAAAGGCCTAAGGGTAGCACCACAGTTACAGTTCTAACAGTGCCTACTAAATGTTACAATTGCTTTGCAGCAAGTTACGCCCTTCTTCCATAGCATCAGTAACACACCAGCCATATTTCTAGGAAAGAAGTACACGGATACAATCTTAACTTTGTATTATGGTTCAGACAGCAGGTGTTATCCATGTCAGAACTCCTAAGGAACACAGCATATGACAGCACAAGAAAGAACAAAAGCCATCTTCCCCTCACTAAGGAGGAACATAAACTTCAGTGAGTTCTGCTGAGTAGAAACTAGCCATACCCCAAATATTTACGGAAGCAAACACTACTCCCTTCACAAAAACAACTCTGTTTCCTACAAGTATCAGTGCAGTACTCCTACAAATAGGGAAGAGTTTTGTATATATGGAACTGCTGACAATTCTGCGTGGAAAACCACTGCTAGTTATCACTGCCGATATCTTGCAGTGAACACTTACATGAGGCAAACTATATCTGTTAAGGCATCCATACATCTAATTCCAACATACGCAAGGAAAACAAATTTCTTTTGACGTAAGATACCTAAAAAAAGAACTTCAAAATCCCTATTCCTCCCCATCTTGTCCCCAGATACATACAACACAGCTGGAAGATGTCACAATAGAGACAAAGAATGCCAGGGACTGAACAAGGCTATTTCAAAAATATATTTCATTAGAAAAGTCTAATGTGAGAAGAAGAAAGGCAGATTATCATCCATTTATCTACTTTTCAGGAGAACAATCTAATATTAGAAATCAATCTACTGAATCAAATCCCAGTATAACATATAGACAACAAAAGGACCAACTATGTTTGTTTTTTATAGGGCTGGAAAAGTGTCTAGGTGACATTTTAAAAACATTCCATACAAATGTATGAGATTACTTTGCATTCCTGTATCAGCAAAGCAAACAAGATTCAAACAACTCAATGTAAACCAACCACGCATTTAACTTTCCATTTAAAGGTAGTACCAGTTTAACTAATATCATTTGAAAAAGCAATTTCAGATAATGTAGCAAAAAAACATTTCGGATCCTTTTTGACTTATATTAAGCAGCATTGCCCAAATCACCTCTGATGCCAGCTGCTTCTACAACCCCACCTCAGTGGTGCTGAAACTCATACAGAAGTCCACCAGCTCACACAAAACCTGCATGGAATGGGAGACAGCGTCAGGAGAACACACATGCCTGAGTTTTCAGGCCCACTGCTGTTGTTCCACCACTCCCTTTAAAAGCAACTGAAATCGACAGCTAAATGTCAGGGTGGGGCAGGGGGTAAGGGAAAGTCTTAGCACTAGGATGTGTGTCCCAGCTTTCCTGCCAAACCGATCAAACCAGCACATTCCCCAACCCTTTTCCTGTCTCCTTCCTTTTTTTTTCTCTTCATAAAAGCCATAATTTAGAAGTTTCTTCTATGTTTTTCCTGTCTCCGTTTCCTACCACATCCCCATTCCTCTTCATCTTGATTCTGCCTACTCTTCTGATGTTACATTTTCCAAATCCTGCTCAGTAACATATTTTCCCTCTATTCCTTCAGATCTTTATACTATTTGGATTTGCTTTGTGCTATCTTCTGCCTCTATATTCTCACCCTTTTCTTTGCTGGTACCTTACGCTGTTCTTAGAAATTGCAACTTGTTTAAGTTGCGTGCTATGACTTCCAGCCATTTGAATCCTTGTCCCCTTTTCTGAAACCATTCTCCTCATTTTCTTTATCACTGACATTTAGATCACAAGCTCTTCAAGGCTGGAACTGTGTCTTTATCTGGGAAACATCATGCAAACCTTTAGTGCAGCACAAAATGTTTAATGCTGCTAAGCTGGCAAAAAAAATATACAATCTGGAAAAAAAAACTTCAAAACAACAAAAATATTTTCACCTGAAAATCTGCATTTGCTACAGCTAGATAAGGAAACGTATTTTAAGCAAGGTTACTGAGATGATAACAAGCTACCATTGAAAGCAGCACACAAGTTCCACACTCTACTTTCACACTCAGCCACACACTCGCTAACAGCAGCTTGATTACATATAATGAATGTTGCTGCTGCTGAGAATGGCAAGAAAAGCTTTATTAAATCATATTACCTCATTAAAATTGACAGTGAGGAAAGTGTGTGAATAGGGGGAAAACATGCATTCCTACTCTGACAGCTCTTGGAAGCCCTGATTCATGCTGCTACTTGCTTTTCTACGCACAGAGAAAAAGCTGGTTTCCTTCAGAATACTTGTTACTATGAAAACTACTTTAAAATAAGCACAAGTCAAAGCCACATAACTATTTTACATCTATTATGCCACTTTGTAACTGACATATTGTAATAATTGAAGTTTCTTCATCTTACAAGATTTATAAACATTACATCTGTCACAGAGGCTTGAAAAGAGTATCTGGCATTACTGAGCAGAAAATTGTCCAGGAATTAAAAGTAAGCAAACTAATTCTGATCAGAACAGTAATTCCTCAGTTAATAATCAAAATACTCATTAACGGACAGTAAAGCACAGTTCCTATAGTTTTACCTTCCATCAGCACTCCCCTGTCCTGCAGTAACAAGCCAGCCTACACCCAATGACCTCCTGCACATGCCAAAAAGCAAATCAGTGCCAAACTTGCAGCGTGGTCTCTCTCTCTCTCAAGAAAGGGCACTGACAGGTTTCTCTCCACCCAGTCTGTTTCTCTTCCCCAAAACTGTAGGAATGCGACAGTCTGAGATCTCTGTCCTTCCTGCAATCATGGTTGCAACTGGTCTGTGACTTCAAAAGCTATTGGCAAATATCTAAGGAAAGAACGGGATAAACAGCATCAATCACTTTCCGTAGGAAACTGGGCTTAAAAGAAAAACAAAAAGCCACCTCCCTTGTTGCTTGTTTCCTGAGCCAAGCAGATTTTGGTGAAATGTTTCCTGATTTCTCACATCTTCAGACCTACATTTCAAATATAAAACACACCCCTCGTGGACTAGGGGCTGGAAAAGTCCCTCCACACACCACCATTTTTCTCCCTAACACAGCCTGTAGCTTTTGGATGATCAAGGAAAACCAAGCCAGCTGAAGCCTCTGGTATTTCTCTGACAAGTTCCATTGGAAGAACTCCCCATCTCCCACCTGCTCACATCAGCACGAGCTTACCCTCTCAGAATTCACAACCACCTTGCTGCGAGCAGCCACCAAGCTGCTGGAACATTATTCTTCCAGGACAGCTTTCAGAGTGCTCGTGAGTAACATCCACTACTCGAAAGACCAATACCAGTCTCTAACACTGCATTAAACATGCAGTGAAACAGCCACCAGAATTGTCAAATACTCTTAAATGCCAGCAACTAATATTTACTACACCAATAATAGCTTTTATCATCCTGGATGGACTTCACAAAGTGTAAAAATGGTAACATGTTTTATTTACCGCAGCAGCAGCAGCGGAATTATTAGAATTAGAAACATGAAGTTAGCTCTATTAATGCAATTTATTTTAAAGTGTTTTTTCTTCCTTATTATGCATCTTACTATCTCATACTCAAATATTCTCCAAACTAATCATTTAATATGTAAAATTGTGTGCTTCTTCTCAGATTTTTGTTAATGCATATTAAGAAATGCACACATTATCACTCCTCTTTCTTCCAAGGGCCACTTGTTACAAGGCTTTTCCTAGTATGTTCACAAACACTCTTTCTGATGGTGCTCATAAGGCAGTGCTGGAACTTTAGGAATAACTGTCAAGTCAGCAGTTAATGGGATGCTTATGGGATCAGCGACCTGAGATATTCTCACATACTTAGAGAGCTGCATGTTAAAAACTTTTAGATTTTATCTACAATGTTAGCATTACATTGTAAACAACACTGTACCCCACTATTCATAGAATCATAGAATCACAAGGTTGGAAAAGAACCTATAAGATCATCTAGTCCAACCGTCTCCTCATCACCATTGCCACCACTAGCACTAAACCATATCACGCAGCACATCATCCAGACGCCTCTTGAACACTGACAGTGTTAAGCATTAAGCATCTGAAAGTTAGATGCTGTGCTGGATGATAAGCCCACTCTCAGGCATTCCTATTCTAGGTGTCCAATAGCTCCACAACTACCACAAGATGTTAGTAATTCAGTTCTAACATCCAACCTGAAGGACTGGAACACTGGTAAGGTTAGTATTCGCAATCCTGATGTATATAGCTAAGCTTTTCCCATCAAGACACACCAGAGAGAAGGAAAATAAGCGTTCTCATTTTTGTCCAGCAGCACAGTTACAACACAGTAAGCCAGAACAGAGAAATCACAGCTACTCTCCAGAGAGGTCCAGACCACAGCATCTCTGCAGGTTCCATGCTCTGCTGGAAGCTGGATCAACTCCTGACCTCTCTTTCCAGCATCAGACCTCAGAGTGAGTAAGAAAAACTGAGAAGTAAAAGGCTTGCAGGGCAGCATGCAGACTCTCTGGGTCCCCACATGACAGAGAAGAGTTCTGGCTTCCATTCCCTAATGACATTTAAAATTTTATACGGAAGAAAAAACTGAAGAGCTCTTGGAAGAGGCCAGAACACAGTTGCCTGTCTCCTTCATCTCCAGCTCCAAGAAAACAAGCACTGTAGTGTTTTTCTTTTGCCCAGTTCAATCACCTTCTAAGCAGTGAAAAGTGGATTTTTAGTGCTTGGGTTTTTCGTTGTTGCTGGGAGCATCTGAGTTTTGGGTTTTTTTGGAAAGAGACAAAAATAAAAACAACAACAAAAAAAAAAAACAAACAACCCCTCTACCTTGTCCCTCCTTTGTGCTTCTGAACCAAAGGGAGAGTCACCAGGTTGGCCCGAGTCCAATCCCATAGGTGTGACTCAGGTGCTGTTTGAACATGCCTTCGGACAAGTGAATGCCTAATTTACAGATTGCCTAATTTATGAATACTAAACAGGCAGAGGTGCCAAGATGCTCCGTTTTGACAAGAGCATGGAGGATCTGAGTGAGAACAAAGCTTCAAGGTGCCTGGAGAACTTTTACAGAGACCTGTAAAAACACAGCCAACATATGGCTAAAAGTTCACGCTGGACTAGATATTCAGAACCCATCTAAATCACAGTTTTCACTCCTCTCTATTCCTTTTGGGTTTGGCCAGATACCAAAATAACATGCATCAAAACCTCCTCAGAAACACCTGCAAATATCTTTTTACATCTACAGAACCTCACAGTGTTTACATTCCAGTATTTATTTTTAAATTCACTTAAGACGGATCTTTCTCCAAGAATCATTTCATTCTGCTTTAACATAAGGATATAACTCCAACACCATTTGTCCTGTGGTAGCAGGCTGTCACGAGTCAAATGGTTTTAGCTCTAGAACTGAAGCTTTCTCACTGACTTAGAGATTACTAAACACTACTACAAGGACAAAGCATTTGTCACCACTCTTAAGCTTCACTTGGATACATCTTTATTGGGAAGATGGGGAATGCCCACAGTATCTCCTAAGCTTCATAAGATTCTGCCGAAATAGCTGTTCTGAATCTTACACAGCGTATCTACTTCTAATGGATCTATATTGAATAAAATATTAATATTACTACAGCTGATTTTATAATAGAGTCAGCATTGTTCCTCAGAACATCACTGCAGAGTAAGAAAACTAATTCAGCGATTTTAACGACAAAATGTAACAGCTGGAAAGAGTCCAAAGTAGGCAAACAGTAAGGTGACAAAAGACTCCATGAACGAACCTGTTCTACTGAGTATTAAATACATGGGAACTGAAAAGCGCAGAAACTTTAAATATACGATTACATATTCTGAAAGCACCTATATTTAAGAATTTATATTATACATTAACACTACGGTAAGAGAACATTAGGGCCATAAAATTAAACACTCAGGCATGAGGTATGCCAAAATTAAAGTGGCCTTTGCATTACAAAGGCATTTTGTGGCAGCTGTAGCGGCTGAGAATTCAATCCTTCAGGGCAGCAGGCAGCTGCATTAACCATGAGTGTTCTTCCTCTCTTCCTTGTGCTTCAATCTTTAACTCCTGCAACAAACGAACTTGGGAACACCTAACAGTTTCAAACTACCACTGAAGCCCATTATCTGAACTAATAAAGCACCCAGCTGTAATTTTGAGCTGCTTTCCCCAGGTGAACCACACAGAAGGGAATGAGAGATCCTGATGGGAATGGCTGTGTTCCCCTGTGCCAGCATTACACAGAGGCACTGGAATCTTTCACTTCACGCTCTGCCACATGACCAAAGATGCACTTCTTACACCTCCTTCTATTCTAAAGTACTACCGAATTCAGAATAACAATGCTGCTAGCAATTTCTCAGCATAACAGAAAATAGGAGGCAGCCAAATATTTGTACCTGTATTCATCAACTGCTAAGTGAGGCTGAAGCTCTGTGCAGCTCTGGACACAGTGCCCCCCCTGTGAAGGAAGGGCGCAGAGCTAAAAAGGGGCTGTTTCCATACAATGAAATTACCCACTGATTTAGATTCGCAACTATTTTCAACACAAGTCTATTGCGTGTAGTAAAAATCAAGAACCCTACCCCAACACAACCACTTTGTATAAAGAACCCAGAGGGTGGTATTTCTATTGCTAATTTATTAATATTCCAACCAGAGTTTGACTAGGGCCAAAAAGCAGCAATAGCACAAAGCTTCTGAAAGCAGCGATTTCCTCAACCAGGCCAATCTATGAAGATTTATGACTTCAGTGAAATTCTATGCTAACAAGATAATTAACCAACACTACAAATTAAAGTAATTACCGCTCCATTTTTATATTGTTGAGCATAAAAAACAGTAAAATTAGTTACAGGAGGGACTTAAGCTCTTTCAAGCATTTAAAAAAAAACACTCATTGCTTTACTCACATCCTTTATTTTACCTACGTAAGTTAAACTCTTTGAGGTAAGAACATGATGCAGAAGAATTAAAAAACAAGGCATGCCTGAATAACATCTTAAAGTATCAAGCATCAAACCTGAGAGGCTTTCAGGTTTGTTTTTTGACCATGTGGACTCTTTCTTAAAGAGATAACTCTTCACAAAACTCTCACCCCTTCACAGCACTAGCACTTGCATTCAACCAGAAACCCCAACCCAAACATTCAGTATTTTATCTATCTGAAAGCAACGTCTTTAGCGCTTTCAACAAAGGACCCCGAATGGATACATACATAAAAATCAGTAGGAAGACTGGCAAAGCACACAGTCTGTCGAGAATTTCCCTACTAAAACAATCAAATGCTGCCCAATTTCAAACCTGCAGATATCCATAGATAAAACCAGTTTTGCTCCTGTGTGATATGATGGAAGCGCGACCCAGCTGCTCAAACAGCCCTGCCAAGACTGCCCCAGTCATGGTGTATTTCTCAAGCACTTCTCTCACTAGCGCATTTGCCCTAACAATCCTCTTGCCTTCTGACACACCTGTCACCCAGAGCAATGAGCGAGGTTAAATATAACCACATCAGGAAAAAAAACATAATAATAATAGCGGTTAATTTTAACCGGGATCGCTCCCAGCCTTCTGCGGGATGCAGCTCCATGCAGTGTGGTGCTGGTGGGGCTGAGGGCAGTGGGACAGGAGGACCAGCAGTTCTAGTCTGCAGTGCTGCTTGTCAAATCGTGCCATGAGAGCACACCTGCTGTCAGCATTTGCAGATCGTATAGGTCACTAGGGTTCTTCCCACCTCTGTGCATCCCAACACAACTGCACCTCGCTTTCCTTCTGCCTCTCCGCAGGTCAACGTCCAGCGCCTACAGGAAAGCCCAGCCCTTACGAAGATGTCAGTGTAAATACCCCCGGGGAGTTTACAAGCCTTGCTCCTCACGCAAATACATTTCGAGTTTATGTCCCGGGCCCAAGGTACAAGCCATTTGAAACCGAAACCAACCGGAACCCCACGGCCGCCTCAAGCGGACACGCGTGGAAAGCAGGGCGGCCCGGCCCGGCTCCGGGTTGCGCACCTACCCGCGGCGCTCTCACTGCGCCCGGAGCCAGGGCAGCGCGGAACGGCACTCAGCCTCAGCGCGCGGTAGCACTCGGGAGCGCACTTGCGGCCATCGCCACCGAGTTTCTAACGGGGAACGTCCGAAAGCACCGAAGGCTCGAGAGCCGCTTTCCCGCGAAGAACGCGGCCGCCCCACCTGCCGCGGGGCCGCCGCCCGCCGCCCCGCAGCGCCCCGGGCCCGGACGAGGCCTGCAACAGCCCGCCGCGCTGCCGGGAGCGGCCGGGCCGGGCGGCGGGCCAGGCGGGCAGCGCTCCAAACGTGCCCGGGAGTTGTGACAGGAGCAAAGTGGGTCACCGGGCCTAGCGGGTGCCCCGCGAGCGCCCCCCGGCCCTGCCGCCGCCCGCGCCCCGCTCAAGGGCGGCCGCCGCCCTCCCCGCGCCCCGCCGCCGCCCCGGCGTCGGGGGACCCGGCGGCGCCGTCAAACTTCGGCGGCCGCCCCGCGCAGTCCCCCGGCTCGCCCCCTCCTCGGGATCCGAGCACGTCGGAGCCGCCCGCATCGCGTGGCGCCTCGCTTCGCACCCCGTTCCCGGCGCGGCTGCCGCCGCCCGCCCGACCTCTCCCGACGAGCGCCGCTCTCCGCGCGCAGCCCCGCGCCCGCCGCCGGCACGCAGCGTTCCCCGGCGGCAGCAGCGCCGGCAGCCGGGCCCGCCGATCCCCGCCACCGCGCCTGCGCCGCCGAGCCCACCGCCGGCAGCCGCGGCGCCTCGCGCCACCGCGCGTGCGTCACAGCGCACTGCAAGCCGCGGCGCGGCGGCCCTTCGCTCCGGAGCGCCACGTCTGCGCGTGCGCGGAGAAGCGGCGGGCGAACGGGCGAACGCCCGAGCTGGCGGATCGCCCTTCCGCGCGTGCGCAAGATCGAGGAGCCGGGCGCGGGGTGGGGTGGGGGAGCCGCGCAGGCGCGCTGGCTGCCGCGCGTTCATGACCTGGATTCACCTCGCCTCGCCTCACCCCGCTTCGCCCGAGGAGGAAATGGCGGCGGGCGCTGTCTCAGCGGGGAGCGGGGATCCCGGCCCCGCAGCGCCACCTCTGCGGCTCGGAGCGCCAGGCCGGCCGCAGTCCGTGGCGCGGGTGATGGAGCTGGGGCGCGGCGTCCTGCCTGTGGAAAGGGCGCGCTGAGGACTGCTGCCGCGCGTCGGGGGATTGCCGCGCCGTCCCGCTCCGCGGTTTCTGCCGTCGGTGTGGGTAAGCGGGCGGAGCTCACAGGTCGGCCTTCAGCGTCTCCACGTTCGCGGTTAGCGCCGGTTTGCGAGGCAGTCTCAGCTGTCAGACGTCGGAAGCGGCCCTGGCAGCATTGGAAATCCCAACGCCTATAGAAATCCTCCTTGTGCGTTCAGAAAATGTTATATCGGCGCAGGAACGTGCGGCTGCGATTGGAGGCAGCAAGACTGTCTGATAATAAAAGTCAGCTTTTTTGTGTGTGCCTGTGTGTGCTTTTAAAGCTTATGTGAACCGCAGGATGCAATCGTGTGGTGGACTTTGCAGAACGTGCTGTGGAATACTGTTCTACTAATAGCCACAAACGCGGCCACCGTTAATCAGGTGCCTGCAGTGAGGGAAGGGAATTGATTTGGCTCCCAAATCTCAGAGGTATTCATTTCTGGATTACTTTTCAGGTAAATTCATTTCCCTGTTTGAGCTGCCTTGTGACTGTACACAGATAGTGTGGGGACAGGAAGCCTTTTAGAGGTAACACTGCCAAAAAGCTATCCATGAGCTTGTTGGGTTTTTCTGTTTGTGAAATTGTAAACAGCATGAGTGAGAACACTTGGAATATTTACAGATTCCAAATACTCCATTTCTAGCTTTTGTTTGTAGAAAATCAATATGAATAAAGTGATCATATTGTTACTTAGGTAAAGGGTAATGCTTCTGTGAGGAAATGCAGTAAAGGCAATAGGACACAGCAGGAATGGAAACTCCAGGAGAAGACACAGAACCATTTTCAACAAAAAGGTGTTATTGCCAGAACTAGGACACAGCCAAGAAACCCACAGACTAAAGTTAGCATCTAGCTGCACATATGGAATTTGACACAAGTAGTGCCAGTAGTAATCCTTCAAGAAAACATGCTAGAGATACGTGCAGTATCTCTTCCCTCAAAACATGCCTTGCAGAGAGCAACATTAGCCTGCTGCAGTATCAAATCTCCCTTTGAAGCTTGCATGTCTTATGGTCGCAGATTTGCCAGGCCATGCAGATCACATGCCGCTGCACTTTCTGCCTGTCCTAGCCTAACTGAGGCAATGTTTTTTAATGTGTTACCTTAGAAAACATTTTAAGTACTTCTGAAGGAACAGATAGCAGTTCTGTGAGGTTATTTCCACCTAGAAATACTGTGTTCCTAATCCTTGTTGTCAATGTGAGTTTGCTGTGATGGTTCAGTTAGGGGCAACAGAGTGTAGATGTCAGATGATGAGGGTGGGTACTGTGTTTGTGCTCCTCTAACACTGCAACCCCTTAATGCGTAATGGAGGTTTGCTGTGAGGAGGAAGTGGTGGCAGCACCCTTTTCATGGCAGTCACCTAAGGTGAATACCAGCGTTGCCTAGGGAATCATATCAGACATCGCTGATGACCTGTTTGCATTTCAAAACTAGAAAGGAACTAACATAAGTGGCAGAGAAGCTATTAACTCTAAAATGCATCTATCCATTCTATTTGAATCTGCAAACTATAACTTTCCAATAGTGATACCTGACAGCACATACCTACTTACATCTACTTTATTCCTCCTGGCTAAAAAGAAAAACACTGATGTTTATTTTCTTGTTTTTCTGAGGTACCTTCATGCCAAGTGTTAAGTGAACCATTTGTTCTGTTTCTGCATACTGATGCAATAAACCATGTCAAATCTGTATAATCTTTAGCACACAGGGTTTGTTTTTGTTTTGTTTTTTAATTGAGTCGTTGGAAAAATTAACTACGAAATCCAATTTGGTTCACTGCTTGCAATAAATAAAAATGCCAAATCAGGAGTGTGGTCACTTTATTCACTGACCTAGTTTTGTTTTGCTTATATACACACGGAACATAAACTATTTTGTGAAGTATGTCCTTATTTTTACTGGGAAGGAACAACTGATCCAACTATGCGCATTAGAAGAGTGCAAAGAGAATCCCTGCCGCTAGAGAAAATTCTTGCATACCTGTCAACCAAGCAAAAGTATTGGTCATTACATTCAGGGCTAAATCCTGTTTTTATATCATTGTACGCATCGTTTTCTTCAGATCAGCCTTTCAATGGGGGAACTAAGAAAGTATTTAGAGCAGAATCCCACTGCAGTCATTTCACCATGAATTAAAGGAGTCAAGCACGCACCTCTGATAGAGAAAAAGAGGAATAAGTAGGGATTACATCCTAATTGCCAACAGCCTCCTTCCTCTTCCATTTGAGCAATTTGTTTGAAAAGAAGAATGCAGGCTCTCAGTGTCCACAGGAGCAATCTCCGGGCAGGGCTTTCATTTACTACGTTAGTTCAAAACAAAATCAAATCAAAAACAAAAAACAAGTGAAACAAATGCCCTTTTTATTGTTTCAGACTTTCAAAAGCAATAGAAAGCTACATTTGTGCTAGTTTGAGTCTGAACAGGTTACCCACATGGAAAACTCATCCTCAAGTAATTTGTGGTTTCAGTACATCACTGCTTTTTGTATTGATGTTTTCATGAACAGAAATGTTTTGCATTGATAATGTCATCATATTTACAATGTCCTTTTTGGGGTTTTCTTCCAAGTCACTTTCAATTGCTCCAACTTCTGCTAGCTTCCATTCAAGCTCTGTAAAAACAAATGATAATTTATGCTGTTGATTGCAGTACATTTTCACTTAAGGGCTTTTATAAACCAAGCTCTATCTCAACAGCAAGAAAAAGCTGTTAAATGTTAACTGTGTTAGTGTAAAATATCTATGCTTGCCAAAAATTCTTAGCACTGCAGGATTACATAAATTATTCTTTACTTTTTGTTGACTTTCCTACAAAAATATTTTGATTTTTTTCTTTTAAGCAGCAATCTTTAGATCTAACGATTACAAACAACATAATTCTTCTCTAGTAAGTGAATTATTCAGAAGTATTTCTCTTACCTTCCACTTTAAGGCACATCCCGCCACATTCAGCTACCCCGATGAACCTGGCTTTTATTTCCCCAGTTTTGTATACAAGTATTGTGGGTAAGCACCTGTCATGGTAACTGTGGATGCAGCTGTTCACAGAGGCTTTGACAAACTTGGCTTCCGAAAACTTTCTGGCCAACTGGCTGAGATGTTCATTGACTAGTAGGCACATTGGAATGCTAGGAAAAGATAAGAGGGCACGATCATATCTGCAGTATAAATGATGTATAAAATAATTAACGCTACTATAATTAGACCTTTGGCAAATAAAAGTGCACTTTGGCTTACTCTGTTTCTTCTTCGTGTTGTAGTTAGGTTTGCACCACAGATTTTATTTAGCTGCTTCTAAGATGGCTTTGATTTGCCCAAATAAAGACTTTCGATGTATGTAATAGTCACAGTTCCCAGAACATGTCAGTAAAGCTACCAGGTGCTTCAAGCAAGCACTGTACCTCAATTTTGTTACATGCAAAGATTTGAAAGCCCATCTTGTCCATTTATTGCAGGTTTAGATGAAATTTTAAGTCTATGATACGTGTTTCACTTGAATTGGCGTTCAATTTAACATGCAACTCTTTTAGTGAAAGCTAAACGTCAGGGAAATCCTTGTATAGCCATATGACCACCACGGGATTGCTCATTACTTTCACAGTATTTGCAGTGCAACCGCCATGTAAGCCTCCACGACGACAACAAAAAAGCGCGGTGGTTTTGTTTCTTTTGTTTCCCTCCTGCCGGGTTACCGCTCTCATGTGGGGAACTTGGCTGGAAGGGACCGAAGCGCCAGCGGGTACAGCTTGCGGGCGCCCCCTGGTGGCCAAAAGCACGTGCGGTTACAGTCAGGGGATTGGATCTGTTCATTCGCTACGCCTCAGTCATCTCATATTCAGCCCTAAGGAACTGAACATGTTTCTCACAGTCTCGTCTGTATAACGAACAAGTAGAGAAGTGATTCTCCAGTAAACAAAAACAACGAAGAGGAAGAAAAGATGCTTTTTTTTTTTTAATTCTTCAAGTTTGTAAATTTAATTTACTGCAATTTAAACAATTTCACTTGATTTGTTGCCCTATTTGTTGCTCCTGGAAATAATGCTCAATTCTTGGCAACTGAAAGGAATCAAACTTCCTCCCAACATGCTTAAAAAGAAGGAAAAGAGAAAGCTGAAAGCTGGTCTGAATCTAAACAAATGTTGAACATTCCATTCTTATTCACAGTTCTTCTGCAAAACACCTGATGGTTGTTAACACATGGTGAACTAATCCTGGCAGCCCTTTGAAATTTCTGCTTCATTCTGTCACAACTTCTGCTACTATTACAGAACATATTGGGCAACTGCTGAACTAAGAAATTCCCTCAGCATTCCTGGATTTTCAGAATTGAGACTTTCCAGTGCTGCTGTATTTGATTTGCTATAGGAGAAACAGAAAAGTCCTGTGAGAGGCCTCCTGCTGAGCAGCGGGGCTTC